TCTCAATACTGATATTGATCTCATGCTGAGCTTTCTTAATCAATAGCCTTTAGTCCTCTTAGCTCAATTTTCTTAATGCAGAATTTATTGTAAAATTTTTCCTTATTACATAATTGTGATGATCTAATACATTGTTGTAATTTCAACAATGAATAGCCAAAAGGTTTCAAGATCAAAAGACAAAATCATTCTATCATTTTCGAAGAGCTTATGTTGGTTGAACATTGACACCATAGAAAAAAATAATAGATATAATCTCAGAGATCGTTGGTGATAATTATCACTAACATGAATGATTAAATGATCCTAATTATGTGAGGGTTTTTTTTTTGTTCCGGCTCTCATCGAATTCTGTCATTATTTCAATATCTTTCTATTATATTTATAAGTACATATATGCTTTATTTAGAATGATGATTCTTATTCAATTTGTGCAAGTAATCAACAATTATTTTCTAGTCAATGTGAAATGGATATTCGTTCATGTGAATTACAAATTCATCTTTATGCTATTGCACCACATTATTGTAATAAAGATCGAGATAAACCTGGTAAAAACAAAAATTGATATTTTTTATTTATAATTTGTTACTATTTATTTTATCAATAGAATATACTCGTGAATGTGGTTATGATGAACCATTAGTTGATACAATAATGAATCGTAATACTGAATGTGACACTATTGGACGTTGTCCAATGAATAGTTATTGTAATACGCAAACAAATCGATGTTGTGTTAAAAGTAATTGATGATATAACAAAAACAAAAAAAAGATAATGACTTTTTTTTTCGTTAATGACATATTTTCTAGTTATTACTGCTATATTACCTTATCGAATATGTTCAACAGATGAACATTGTGGTAAAAATATGGTTTGTTTAAGTGGTCTTTGTGAATGTATACGTCAAGATTTTGTACCAGCAAGAAAAAAACGAGAATGCAGTAAGTCAAAATAATGAAATCTCTCATTTATATGTTTTCATTAAATTAATAATTTTTAGTTGCTGTACCTTATTTATCTATTGGTTCAACTTGTATTGATTCTCCATATGAATGCTGTAATGATAGTGTTACTATTTCACCTAGTTCAGATCGACGTGGATGTCCTGGTATGATATATAAAAAACTTGAAATAATTTCATATGTTCAATATGTTTTGTTTTTTTTTAGAATTTTGTAAATGTCATTCAACTGGTTCATTACAAGCTTCATGTGATCCAATAACAGGTTCTTGTTATTGTCGACCAGCTGTTGGTGGATCTAGTTGTTCACATTGTGAAAATGAATATTGGGGATTTTCTCGTATATTATCACATAATAATACAGGATGTACTCGTAAGTCATTCAAAAAAAAAATAATAAAAGAAGAATATCAATTAATTTTAATTATAAATTCTTTTAGCTTGTGGTTGTCATCCATATGGTTCAACACGAAAAGATTGTCTTCAAGATACCGGTGAATGTTCTTGTCATTCATTTGCAACAGGTCGTCAATGTGATAAATGTATTGATCCATCTTTAACATTAACTGACCGTGGATGTGTTAATTGTACGCTATTATAAAGATCAAAAATTTTCTTTTTTTTTTTTAATTTATTAAAATATTTTTTAGTACGTACAGGCCGTCGTCGTCCACGAACATGTCGAGATTTAATTTGTCTTTTTGAAGGTATATGTCAAATAATAAAAGGTCAACCTCGCTGTACATGTCATCATGTTACATGTACAAATGATGAACAACGTTCAATGAATATATGTGCATCTGATGGACGAACTTATAATTCAAAATGTGCTATTAAACGACAACAATGTTTAAAACAATATGAAATTGGTTTAATTTATCCAGGTGTTTGTACAGGTAAATAAAATTTCAATTTGATTTTTTTTGGATTTATTTACGTTTTTTTGGATTTATTTATGTTTTTTTGGATTTATTTATGTTTTTTTGGATTTATTTATGTTTTTTTTGTATATAATTATTAATAGATGGATCATCAACAGAATATTCTCAATTGGAAGAAGAAATTGAATTACCAATTGAAGAAAATATATTTGATTATCCATCACAATTCGTATCGGTTGATTCAAGTAGAAAAGATTTTTCTTTACATTTACAGTATTAATCATTTTTGATTATATTAATTAGAACGATGTATTACAAATTCAGATTGTGGTGAAAATATGGTTTGTTTATCAGAATTTTGTGAATGTGCAAAACAAAAATATAAACGTATACCAGGACCACGATGTGTGGCGCGTAAGCTGATCTTGTTGTTGTTTAGTGTATGTCTGTGGGAATAGAAGATCTAGTTAAAATATTTGACTATTTAATTATATATTCATTTTAGCTCATTCGAATCTTTTACCATCGAATTATACATGTAAGAGATTTATATTGAATGTAAGAGAAATTTTAAAGATTTTTTGTTTTTGCTATTAGTAAATCCTGTTCGTCGTACAACAATGGGTGCTTGTGTACGACGAACACCCTGTGAAAATCAAGCTACATGTATCGATCGACCAGATGGAAATTATAAATGTTTATGTGCTTTTGGTTGGCAAGGACGTCATTGTAATGAAAGTAAGAATTTAAATATTATACTAATTTTCTATAGGATTCTTTGAATTGAAAATAACTATAGTGACCAATAGGCTTTTACTAACCCTTCTCATAAGTTCATTTTCAAAGGGACCAAAAATAAACAAATATTTTATCTCAAAATTTTCGGCCTATCCGTTTTTTTTCCGTTATATGATAGTCGGCAGAATTTATTAAGCATTCGTTTTTTTACTAATGAGAATATTTCATGTTTTTTTTTGCCATTTTGTTTTAAGGATTTGATGTAACAATTCCACATTTTAATCGTCAATCATATTTTGAACTTAAAATTCATTTATCACCAAAACATAGTGATAATCAATTATTACGTATTGATCTTATATTTGCATCTGAACATCATAATGGTTTACTACTTTATGCTGATGATAAATTAACAGAATTTTATTTTATTATTTCCATAAGAAATAAAATTCTTGATATAACGTAAGATATTTATAATTTTCTAAAGAAGAAAAAAAAAATATGTTTTTTATTTCTTTAAAGTGTTCGTCTTGATCATTTTATTTCAACAATTCAATTACCTGATTTGATTGAACTTGATACATATGCTCGTTTACAAGTACATATTTTACATAATGAAATACGTGCAAGATTAAATGATGGAAATATTTCATCAAGTATATCGTATAATTTAATTAAAAAATTTTATATTTTCGTTCTTTTTCTTCTAAAAGGATTATTACCATTTGGGAGTTCATTTAAAAGTACATTATATTTAGGAGGTTTACCTGATTCTTTAATTTCGTAAGAAATTCTAATTGGTGTTTTTTTTTAAATTAAATCAAATTAATTTGTTTATATAATCTAGTCTTTATCAACAATTTCATCTTGATGAAGGTTTTCAAGGATGTATACATGAATTATCAATAAATGAGCGACGATTAACATTCAATAATTCTGAACATCATATTATTCTTAGTGCACAAAATATTGGTTTGACTGTTCTTTTTCTAATAATTAATTATAAATAACTTTTTTTTTCTTAATCTATTAGATGAATGTATTGCAAATCCATGTCGATCCGGTATAGCATCGTGTCGAAATGGAACTCATTGTATACCAATAAGAAATAATGATGCAAATAGTTATAAATGTATATGTGAGGATCATATATCATCATTAAATACTGATTGTTTAATATCATCAATTGATCGATGTTCACTAAAACCATGTGATTATGATCAACAATGTATAAATGTATATCCAAATAATTATACATGTATTTGTAAAAATTGTGCATCAGGTATAAGAGAATATTTATTCTATATAGATATAAGGAAAAAAAAGAATAAAAAATTTTTGGTTTTAAATAGATAATCAATATATAGCTGCATTTGATCCAAATAGTTATATAAAAAGGCCTCCTCTTGAACCATTAGAACATACAGGAAAATTTTCAATTGAAATATGGTTTCTTAGTGAAAGTTCATCAGGTAGAAATTTTTATTAAATATATATCTATATTGAGAATTTATATTTCTTTTTTTTTCGTTTATTTAGGTTTATTAATTTATAGTGATCATGTAAATTCTAAAAAAGGATATTTTACTGTTTTTATACAAAGACGAATAGTTATATGTAATATTTTAATTGGAAGCAAGACTATTTCACTTAGGTAATTTTGAAATGAAGGTTTATTATTTTACAAAAAAATTTCTAATAAACGTATACATTTTTTCTATATTTGGTTAGATACGTATGGAAAGCATCAAATCTTTTGATATCTTTTAGTATATTCTAAATAAGATAAAATATGCATTTCAGAGATGAAATAACTTGTTCTAACTTGTGACTAATAATTTATTTCCCTAAATCTTTATGTGAAACTGACATATGATAATGTTTCTTGATCATGGTCAACTTACGAAATACTTTTAATTTCTTTTGAAATTTTCAAAATCTATGCCGGGAAAGATAAGAATAATATTTTTTTTCTTTTATAAATAACTAGAACTCTCATGAAAACAAGATATTTTCTTTCATTACTACTAACAAGTGTGTCTAAAATAATTAATATTTTGTATTTTTTTAAATCAAACTTCTGATTCTAAGTAAATGAACCTCTGGTAAGGCTGAAAAGTTCATTCTCTAGTATCACTGTTAAAGATATTTTTTTCTTGACGATCAGAAAGAAAAATTTTCAAAACTGGAAAATATCTATTAGATCTGCATAGGATAAAATTCTTATCAGTTTTCATCACAATTAGTTCATAATGATTCGAATTTTATTTTAGTTCTCGATATCCAATCGAATTAAATATATGGCATCGATGTTCAATCGAAATCTATGGTCAAAAATTCACTCTAATAGTCGATCAAGAATCACCTGTAGTTACATATGAATTATTTTCTACAAATATTCTATGGCCTCGTTCATTTACATTTATTGGTAATTTACCAATTCAATATCGTTCATTTGACACATTATCAAATTTCATCATATTCGAAGGATTTCGTGGTGCCATACAAAAAGTAAACAACAAAAAAAAATCTTTCTTTTTTTCTTTACATCGCTTTATTTAGATTATTCTTAATAATCATCCATTAAATGATATTCGCCAAGATGCTATAGAATTATTTAATATAAGTGAATATCGTGGTTATCCATGTCAACCAAATCCATGTACATTAAATAAAATTTGTCAACAAACAGAATTAAATAATTATACATGTCATACACGATATAAACAATCTAATGTTAAAGATATATCAATTGAATTAGATGGAAGACAAAATCTTATTTATTCATATATACCATTAAATTTAAATAGAAATTATTTTAAATTATCATTTAGAACAAAAACTTCTTATGGTTTAATTTTTTATATTGGTGATACAACAATAAATGTTTTTTCTCAATATATATCATTAACAATTGTTAATGGTTTTATACAATTTACAATTAAAATAGATGAAAATTCAACTGAAATATTTTTAAGATCAAAAACACGTATTGATGATGGTCAATGGCATCGAATTGAAATTGAAAGGTTTAGTTGAATTTTGTTAAAAATTAAAAGCAAAAAAAATAAAACCTATTTTCTTGTAGATTTCGTCGTCGGATAACAATGAAACTCGACGATAATTATCCTCGTCGTACTGTATCATTAAGTAAAATAACTACATTTCGTCCAAATCCAACATATATTTATATTGGTGGTTATCATCGTTTATGTGGTCATGATGAACAACATTGTCGAGCATATCGTGGATGTTTAAAAAACTTTTTTATTGATAAACATTTTATTGATTTATTTAATGATGAAATAAATCAATATTATCCATTAAAACAATGTTAAACTATGGCTAAATAAAAGAAAAACATTTGACAATATTTTTTTTCTGTTTGTTCATTTGTTTGTTTTTTTTTTATTATAAAAATCGCGATTTTAATTGGTAGAAAGAAAAAAAAGCACGAAAGAAAATGAATTGTTATTGATATGTATCAGCGATTAACCGAAACGACAAGAATGTCTCTAAGTGCTTGACAACGCCCACTACCCCGCATTACAATGTAAGGCAATTTTTCAGTTAAAGATAAGAGAAAAGGAGAATCATTTAAATCGCATCGTTCAATTTTAAGTTCAAGATTAAAAGATGATGCTGAACTAATCGATTGAATATCTATAATAGTCTCTGTTCTTGGCTTTATCATTGCATTATGTACGATAATTTTTGCTACAGTTGATGATAACACACTTATTTGATAAGATGATTCATGTTGAAATGTAAATCTATAATTATTAAAACTATCTATTGATGTTAACCCAACTTGTTTAAATGGTGTTGTACGATTAAATGTATCATCAAATGAACAATTTGTTTGTGTTGAACATGATAGATTATTTAATAGATAACCAATTTTACTTGAAATTTGATCAAGTGTTGGTGATAAAGCAAGATTATCGAAAGATTCCACTGTAATTGATGCTGTTTTTGAATAAATTGGAATAATCATCGGAAAATCTTTCGGATTATTTAATTTATAAATTGATTGTGAAATATGTCGAACTCGAATTATTTTTGGATGAGTATTTGTATATGGTTGTCTGGTACAAGCTATAATAAATACAATAAGAAAACTAATTATTAAAATAATTAATGTTCGACTATAATTCATAATTCGTTGAATATTGGGAATAAAAAAAAGAAAAAATATAACAGCTGGTAATAAAATAATCAAACATAGAATGATATCTTGTGGTATTGGAATTTCTCGAACTCTTCTACCCAGTATTGGAATAGCTAGACGAGCAATTCGACTTGTCATTTCAAGTGTATGTATAAGTGGTATTAATGAAACAATATAAGGTGCAAACAACCAATACCATCCTTGTTCATTAAAAATAGTGAAACATTTTTTCTTTGTCCAACGAAAACTAAATTCAAATAAAATTAGACATAAATAAATTGGACAAATAAATATCGACCATAAAAGTATAAGATAAAGTGATCGATTACCGAAATAAATAGAAATACTCATAAATAAGACAAAAATAAGAAGCAAAGCCCAATGACGTTCAAAATTAAAACATAATCGATCTATATGATTAATTGTATTAATTTCCATTGGATTTTTTTTTGGATATTTTGATAACAAAAATCGACGTAATAATATCCATAATATTTCACAAAGAATAATACCAATTAAACAAGATAAACCATAAAGAAAAAAAGCTATTGTAGAATTACCAAACCATGATAATGGTCGAATTTTTGACATAATAAATGCAATAAATATAGAAAATAATATTCCAAATAGAATTGATAATATATAACAAATAAAAAATATAATTATTGAAAGAATTCGAATAAATAATGGATATTTAAAATAAAAATAAACTGAAGAAAAATCGTCTGTGGAAGATTTGTTTTTGTACCATAATTGATCAATAAGTATCACTAAAATTCCTATTAGAATAACAAATCCAATAAGAATTGATTGTATTATTACTGATGTTGATTTTTTATATATAATTAAATGTCGACCAAGTATATCAAAATAGATTAAATTATCATCATCAGTTATAGCTTCTGGTTGCTGCAGATTAGCATGACCAAGAAGAATATTACGAGATAATACAAGGGTATTTTCACCTAAATGTTGTAATGCACCTTGTTCAACAACTGATGGTGTATCAAGTAATGTATGATAATTATAACCATCAAGATAAAAAGCAAAATCATATCCTAATAATGATCCTTGTTCTGTAAAAATACGATAATCAGTATCAGATCCAGTTGATTCAACAATTTCCTGACCTAATACATTAGCATGAGGTCTCGGAACTCGAGCATAATCTTTAACAAGCTTCAAAGAAATAATAGAAAATGAATTTAGTTAAAAAGAAAAAATATTAAAATATACTTGTGACGGTTGAACTCGAAATAAAATTGCCTTTTCATTTCCACCGGTTGAATCAATATTAATAAATCGACGTATATCATGTTTCCATTCATGATTTATAACAAATTTTTCAGCACCAGCTAAGTTCATTTCTTCGGCAGCTGTAAATAGAACGATCAAATGAACTTGAGTAAATGTTATTGATGGATCATTGACTAGATTTGAAAGAAGTTCGAGTAAAATAACAACACCTGAACCATCATCATTACCACCAGGACTAAATTCAACTATGAACAAACACAAAAGAAAATAAATATATTATGTGGCATATTCTTGATTCAACACCTGAATCATAGTGTGCACTTAACATTAAACAAGGCGTATTGGATGATGAATTTGAATTTGATAGACGAACAGCAATATTTTGTAATTGGTCAATATCGTTAAAGGTAAAATTTTGTAAACTTACTTCGAATTGGACAGATTTTTTAGCAAGCGAACAAATTCGATAGATTTGTGAGATAAGAAAATCGCGTGTAAGATAATCAGCACGTGTATTTGAAACTCTTGGACCATATTGAGTTAAATTAGGATAGTAATCACGAGCACGTTCTTCACTAAATTCATGTAAAGGTATTGTACGTGGTTTAACAACTGGTAACATATAAGAGAAATGAAGAGCAAGTGGACTGGCAAGGAGAAAAAGACAGCCGAAAAGAATAACCCATAGTAGAAGATTTTTGTATAAATTATTTCGATTAGTTGGTTTGATTAGTCTAAAAGAAGGAGTCAATTCAAATAAAAATGTATAATAAATTTAAATCCTATAATAAATATAAGAATAAGTTTATCTTTGAAAAGCTTTCGTAGTATCATCTATCTTCTTCTATATATATAATGTTCAGTGTGTGTTTGTGTGTTTCTCTGTGTCGGATCAAAGATTAAAGGTCAAAGGTCAAATAAGACTATAAGGAGGAGGATCCCAAGGCCATGAAATGGGGTACCCTTAGGTCATCAAAGGCTATTATATGGGAACACCCATGGGTCCTCAAGGGCTATCCTATGAGAATACCCATAGGCTCTCAAGAGTCATTATATTGGGGAACCTATAGGTTCTCAAAGGTCGTCCTATGGAGACATCTCATAGTCTTTAAAAAATCATTATATAGGAGTACTCATAGCCCCTGAAGGAAGTAAGGCAATTAGGGGATAATGCTACAAGAGCTACAAGGGGATATAAGGTTATAAGGCCGAAAGCTAATGAAGTATAAAAATATGTGTCATATAAGAGTATGAGACCGTAGACTATCTATATACACAATGTGGAGTGTCTATATAGCGTGAAAGGCTAAAGCTTTGAGGTCATGTGTTAAAGGAGAAAACAGCCGCGCAGTATGCACGGGCTCATGCTAGCTTTTAAAATGTTTTCCATTTCAACTCTCTACTAAAGTACTTATTTCTATTTAGTTAAATACTTTAAATGAAATTTTTGTCAAATGAGACAAACGATTGATCTAAGAATCACAACTTTCAAAAAATAACTCTTTCTTTAATTTGTTTTACTGCATGTTCTATATTTTCAATTAATGCTTTTTTCCCTTGTTGCTTTGCCTTTCCTTCAGCTCATGACATAAATCAAATTATCTTATGTAGTGAATTTCAATGAATCTAAATATAGATAAATGAGATATTAATGAATTCTAACGATGAATGATGAGAATTAGTTATTCCATTACGTCTAAGTTTTTTATTCACTATTTATCAATAGAAATTATTAACCTCTTAATGACTTGGATGTAACTCTGTAGGCTACGGAGTATGAGATGAACTTATAGGTTCCATAAATTGATTAAAAGCTACATAAAATAAAAAGGCGAAATGTAAGTGTCAAACATCCGATAAAGAAAATTGAGAAAAGAAAGTTGTCTTTGAAACTTGTGACTCTTAGATCAATCATTTGTTTCATTGGACAAAACAAAAATACTTTAAGTAATTAGGTAAACAGAAATAAGTATTTTTGTAGAGAATTGAAAGAAAAAATGTTTAAAGAAAATTATTGACATAAGTAAAAACATGGTCGAAATATTTTAGAACTACTAAAAGGATCATTCTTTATTGTCCATCTGTTATTATTCGCTATTTGTTTTTTTTTATTGAACAATATTACATAATGATTATCAATTAAGAACTTAATATATGATTGAAGTTTTATGATTTATTAAAAGCCATAAATACATTCTATTTATCTCATATGTTGTTTACCTGTTTGGATATTTTCTTTTTTTAAACATTTTTATAATAGAAAAACGTAAAATAATTTCGAATATCAGGTAATTACTTAAGTTAAATCTGTAAGCTGAAAAAACAAACTGATCAAAATGTTCATAAAACAACAAAGAAAAGATACTAAAATTTATTCCTCCTATCTTGAGTATCTACGTATATAATTTTATAAATAGATATACCGTTTGATTATATGTCGATGTGGTTCATCTAATGTATGATCATCAGAACTATTCTGTAATCTAAGAAATATTTGACGATCATGTTGACGTTGTTTTCCACCTTCTGTTGAAAGTAGCACAATTTCTTCAACTTGATTTTGCATTGACTGGATATGTAAATGTTAAAAAAAAATTTGTCTAAATACAATGAATATAAATTACAAGTAGAAATAATTACATATTTGTGACGGTGGTAATTGTACCTATTATAAAAATATAAAACTAGTAAAAGAAATAGACAAAATCAAGAATAGAATAAATATTACCCCTCTACCGATTCACATAGTTACTACGAGTCTTTTTTTGTCGTTCTGTCACTTTTGTGTATGACTAACATAGAAGAAAAATGACACGTAGTTCGACCGTGCAATGATATTGAGTTACAGACGATAGCGGCGCTATTACCTGACATATAATTTGAATTGTAACACAGCACGTCACCTACGAGCGACAAATGACATAATGACTTGATATGAGATTTATAGAAAATCGATATTTTCAAAACTCTGTCTTTGAAGTATATTGACAATGAAATTGGTACATTGTGTGCTTCTTGTTGTTTTTTGCTATTGTAAAATAAAATAATAAAAATTTGGGTACTACTCCACTTTAGGCACAGTCCGTATATAAACAGAACAG